CTTGAAAATCAAAAACATGGACACATAAACAGTCCTTTGTCACACAGCCCACATGACAAGCGCTAATAAATGTAAACACGGCTCCAGTGACCTAGATATGGCAAAACCACGAAAAGGACTCTGTATTTTCTTGGGCAAATGAATGGTGCGCAAGCCAAAAAAATAAGTACAGTGTGACGCATGGACCACAGAAGGCTTGAAAAGGAGCGCATGGTGTCACATTTCTCAGCACCTCACGAACACACAAAAGATTCACGTGGCCCCTGAGGGCCAATGACTTTTCTCACTCATTCATGCAAACAGTCACTCGAAAAAGAGTAGCTCAAGTTAATTACTGTATTGACTAGGGATGTTTAATACCACTTTTTTTTTTTTTTAAACCGATACCGGTACGACTCTCCTCTCTTGAGAACACTCCGATACGATACCAAGTAACCGATACCACTCGTACTTTCTACACATAAAATTTCTATTAAACCAATGACAGACAATTTTAACGGAAGACCTTTCGTTGAGTTCTGACAAAAGGGAACATCCACTCTGAAATGGAGGATTAAAAAAAACACACACACACACACACACAAAGAACTCACACTGACTTTAGGAACATTTTCAACATTTCTTTGAGATGTGTCAACTTTTCTCACCTTATCAATACTGCACTAATATTAGTCATTCTTTGCAGAGGATAAAGAATACACGACAGTGAGCCGCGTCAATAGCGCCGCAACACAGATGCTGTTTAGTGTCAGCATGACGCTAGTGGACTGAAAGGCGAAGCTATTGGGTTGTTTTTAACCTACGCAACGTGCCATTCACTTTATGTTTAGTTTGACATGAAACTTCACAAAGTTTGACCATGGAGGAGCCCATGTGATGGTGCTTTTTTTTAAAATGCTGAGTGCTCAAGAGAGCGTAGCGCGCGTCATCGCTGCGTCACACAGGCGTCAGGTGGTCAGACAATGAGCTTTTATCTCTGCACTTCTCGCCGGTTGGTGACGCTTCTTTTCAAAACAATGACTTGTCAGCGCAGCGCTCATTGTTGGCACCGATTTGCTTGTTCTTTCAGGATGGCTCGGTGGGGAGTCTTGATGATCTGGCCCAGGAGTATTCTCGCTATTACGGCACCTCCCTCAGCGACGTGTGCGAAAGGATGGAGGAGCTGCGCCGACGCCGATTGGTGCAGGATGCGGATGTGACGGTAAACAAAAATTGCTGACTTGCACTGGGCAACGTGTAAAAACATCGTGATCTTATCATCTGTCTTCGCCAAAGGTTTATTGCACGGTGTGAAGCACAAAGTCACCTCCGGTGTGTCTTTAAAGTTGTTCTTAAGTTGGTGACAGCATAAAGAGATGTGTCCACTTCCTGCGCCTTTCAGGGAAAGCTTGACTCAGCGGCCGCATCGCTGGAGCTGCGCTCTCAGATCCAGGTGAGGTCACATGTGTCAGCGGCCATGTTGGCAAGATTACGCTGTGGCGTGATGCAATTTGCACCACATGATGCTCCCCAGACTATCAGCAAATACATTCCATTTGCTGACAGTGTGCGCTGAATCTGGAAATACTCACAATGCTTCACTTTTTTTTTTTTTTTTTTTTAAACATTTGACTCATGGTTACCGCCTTATTCCAAAATGGATTCCGTGTTTTCGTCAAATCCCGACACACAACAGCTCCTAATGAAAAAATGGGGGGAAGACGGGGAATGTCATTTGAAGTTTTTCTGAAATTAGAAAAATAAATGTGGAAAAGGTGAAGCACTGTCAGTACTTTGCTGATGCATTATTTTGTGTTTGCTAGCGATGAGACGTGACATTTTATTCCTGTTCTCAAGGAATCTCTTGGACTCTGCAGCACCACATCTACTCCGGAGACGGACAGGAAGTAAGGATCTGAACTCATTACATTGACATGATTAATTAGGGGCTTCCCTTGAAAAAGAAAAAAAAAATCTTCATTGATTGAATGAGCTCCTCTGTGGAGAGACGCCAGCTCAACTCTGCCCTCACGCTATCAACCCAACAGAAAAATAAACTCCCCTCAAGCAATTATGAACAAATTAACAAAATGAACTAAATCCAATACTTGGGACAAATACAAAGCTCTGAAGACAAATAAAAACCACCCCAAATAAATGATCAATTTAAGACCGCCAAACACCTCTGCCAAACAATGGCCAATTTAATACAAATAAATGCCGACCTTTAGCAACCATTGACTCAAGACGAATGACCACCTTCCTCAAGTAACATCATCTTACAGTAAAATTTTTAAAAAAAAGTCTCCTTCAGACGAACAAAAAGTCAAGATAAAGCTGCAACTGTCTCAGGCGATCAGCAGCACAACACGAATTAAAAAACAAAAAGCCTCCCTCAAGCAATTATCACAAAATTCTTTAGACAAACGAATGCCTCTCTCAAACAATCAACTGAATACAATCAAATGTCTACCTCAAGTAAGCTTCAACGTCAAAAGATAAAACGCTTTCCCCATGCCACGTCAGCTTTAGACAGACAAAAGGACTCCCTTAAGCAACCGACAACTTCATCCAAATAAAACACCGCGCTCAAATAATCGTCAATTTAAGATAACCAAATACCCGCCCTCACATGTAGGCAACGTCTGGGATGAATTTTACGCCATCTTTAATTTGTTCTGTGTTAAAAGCTCAAAACAATTGCTCCATCTGCGTGTCAAACCGGTCGTGAAGACGTCCATTCGTCATATGCGCCATCATCCGCGTGCATACGCGCCACTTCCTGCTGCCCTTGAGACACTCGTGCGTGTGTGCGTGCGTGCATGCGTGTTGGTCATTCCAAACTTGGCTTTGTCTTTCCTGCTTTTGTTTCCTCTGTTGATGAGTCACAGGATGATTAGGATTGGAGCACGCAAAAAGGATGTCGCTTTCTAAACATCCAGTGATTCATGAAGTCTCCTTTATTTTAATTTTATTTTTTTAAATAAACCGAAATTATTCAGCTGCCCTAATTTAAAAAAAAAGAGAATAATAATGTGGTATATAGTACGGTAATCTGATTTTTAAACACATAAATAGTATACATTTTTTTTAAAGTCTTTCTTTTATTTTTTATTTTATTTTAATACATTTTTACATGAACAAAACAGATTAACTGAATAAATGTCATTCTATCTCCTATTCATAATTCATACTTTTTTTTTTTTTTTTTGTCGCTTTTCATTTACCCAAAATGTTTCGGCGGAAGTCTTTCATGCGTGACTCATCTTTTATCAGCTGATATTCAATGAGATAAGACAGTCGTCACCGATCACTACAAAAGGGAAAACCACATTACCGATCGGGAAAAGGCCCGAGTCATCCGCATTGAAGACAATAAAACCCCAGCGTTGGATTCGGGAGGTTATCGAGGTCAGGAGGCGGGGCCAGAGGACCATCGAGAGGGACCAGGGAGCAGACGTGCTCATGAGCACCTCGAGCAGCATCCCGTAGGGTCTGAACGGACAGCAAAGGGCGGGAATCGCCTGTCACGCCTTCATTGAACATCAGCCGATAAAGACGAGTCACACGCAATCGAAACACGTCAGGTAAATCACAACCTAAAAAAAAAAAAAAGTGTCGTGATAAGACCCAACAAGTTCAACAAAGCTGATTATTTTTGTCACACACTTCCCCGAGAGCATTTCGCTGTTGAAGTCACTGATTAGTTTTGCCCATTAGTGCCGATTTCCCTTCCATTCCGACATAGCTATTTCCAGTAAAGTGAGCGCGTGCGGGAGGGCGGGAGTTGGGAGAGGAATGCAGGCTCCACATGAAAACTGTCACTGCTGCAAAACGTCCACTCCAAAAGGGGGCCAAAGCCTCTTTTGTTTCCCAACCGAGCTCATGTGTTCATCCATGGAGCGTGGCTGGAGCCTCTGATTTTTTTTTTTTTTTTTTTTTTTTTTTTTTATATTTTTGGGCATCTTTGATCATCGTCACGACGACGCCATTTTGTTGCCCGGTGGCCGACAAAGAGACCACTGAAGGGATGAAGAGAATAAATGTGGAAAAGAGGTATCTTTTACTTGTATTTGACCGGTTCAAGGAAGAAATTTGAACTGGATTTGTGTGTGTGTGTGTGTGTGTGCGCAGGTTTCCCATACACAAGTCCAGTCCTTCGGACGACGGCAAGAGAAGGAGCAAATCCTTTTGGAGCACTTTCAGAAAGACACCCAAAGGAGCTTCCGCCCGCCACCTTGCAAAAGGTAACAAATAAGTTCCATGCTGAAGAAATGCAGTCCACATTTTTTTTCATGGAAGATGAAATGTTGCAGTGATATTACATTCGCAATATTGACTGGTTTAAAAAAAAAAAAAACGTGTGTGTGTGCGTGTGCGTGTGTGTGTGTGTGTGTACCTGCCAGGTGATTTAGTGGGCTTCGTGGCCAGTGAAATCACCATGAGCGATGAAGAGCGCATCCAGCTGATGATGATGGTCAAGGAGAACATGATCTCCATTGAGGAAGCGCTGGCCCGGGTAACATATTACAGAACACAAAATAAACACAGCCACACAGCGTAGATAGTGTAAGCCCAACATTTGTCCGGAACAAAATATTTCTGATTTTGTGTATGCAGTTGAAAGAGTTTGAGATGCAGAAGCAACAGAAGTGCAGGTTGGAGCCGTCCGAGTGCACAGATGTTTGTCATTCTGCCGACGAATCTTTCAGCGATAGCGTAAGTATTTCAAGCATCCAGCTATCTATTTCGCTAGGATGGAGATCTGGGCCAGGGATGGGCAATTTAAATGGGGGGCCACAGAGGACCACGCACCAAGTCACCAGATGACAAAACTGCTATTTTAAATATGGAGAAAAATACTTGCCTCCTTGGAAAATATGTGCTCTTATGATATTTCATCTTTTACTTATCGTATTCCCCCCCCCCCCCCCCCCCCCAATTTGACTCTTCTGTTGCTCGGATTGCTGGTGCTCGTCGTTTACCAACATTACAAAATGCCGTGTACTTTGAAATACTTGACAATAAGAAGATGTCTCATCACCACTGACCCCCGTTGCTGTCCCTTTGTGAACGCGGCCCCCATTTGGAGCCCCCTCTAAGCTCAATGCCACAGTGGTGTCACCCTGTTTTTGTGCTCCACATTCCGACAGCAGCCAGTCATGCCCACCACACACATATTTGATGCAGTTAGTTACTTGGTTAGTTTGTTTGTTCATTCGAAGGATGACACACTTTTTGTTATCCAGTTTATTTTGTTAGTACAATAGCATAGTTACCTTATTAGCCAATTAGCTTGTTAGCCACTTGGTTAGTTATTTGGTTACCCTGATGACAAACAGTATTGCTGTTAGCTGGCATTTGTTTATTCGTTGGTTGGTTGACAGTTAGTTAGTTAGTTGGTTAGTTAGTAGGTTAGTTAGTTAGCTAGCTAGCAGCAGGATTCCACACACTGGGTTGGCTTAGGATGGCACAAACAGTGCATTGTTGAGTGATTTTTTTTCCTGTTTGTCTGTACCAGCTGCGTGAGCTGTCCGACACGGAACAAGATGAGTGGCTGACATTCCGAAGGCTTCACAAGCTGGTCAACTCCACACGCAAGGTGAAGAATAAACTCATCAGGATCGACCAGACCAGGAAGACCGGCGTAGAAGGTACTCCACACACATCAAGCATAAAGCAAATCATATTCAATATTGGCATGTTGTAGTCATTATGTATACTATAGTAAAAACATGAGCTTTTTCTTAATATTGTTATATGATGATCCACAGAGTGTTGTCAGCCAAGCATTTGTCCCGTGGACTCGCTGGCGTCCGCCATGCAGGATCAGCTGGGCTACGGCGAGGACAACGTTACCACGTCGTGCTCTTCTGGCAGCTTGGCCATGTCAGAGGCCCCCGAGCGCAGCCCTCCATGTGGCAGCTCCCCTCGTCACGACGCGCCCGAGGAAGAACAGTCGAGCAACGCCGTATTGGACGAAAACCACCACCAGGGCAACGAGGCCAAGATGGCTCGATCGGTGACAGACGGGGGGCTCCGACATCGCCTCCTCAGCCACCACGGGGTTAGTAAGTTATTTCTCAGTTAGCAGAATGACTCACCGTTATTTGTTTTTCGTTCGTGACATTATAGCTTGATATAGGAATAAAACCTTGGTTGGTCATCTGATTAGCAGAAAAACAAAGCAGACTAACTGAAAAAGTGGATTTCACTGTGGTGAAATCCACTATCATCCAAAATGGATGGATAGTTTGCAGGATGCCTTAAAGTTTGTTCTTAGTGGTTGAGTTAGTTAACATGATGACATAAGTATTTGTTTCATTTCGACTGATTGTGTTAATGTTGATTTTTTAATTATTATTTATTTTTAATGCTTGTATCACAGAGAGCTTGCAGTTTCGGAGGATTTGACGTCACCAACCGCTCAGTGCATGCAGCCCAACACACCGTACGTCCTCGACTATGATGCAAGTGTACAACAATAGAGCAAACGCAAAGCAAATCTTTGTTCAATAACCTTTGGCTTGACTTTGATCATCTCAGGGCGAAGACGAAGACGGCGCTAGGTCCCCTCAGATATCCCGCATCTCCCTGGGCAAGAAAGTCAAGTCTGTCAGGGAGACCATGAGGAAGCACATCACTAAGCGACACCAAGCCTCTATGTTGGATCAGGTACACGAACACACAGCCTTGAGAAGTGACAGCGAGTCAAAGTCTCACTGGAATTGTTCCACAAATCCGGTAATCATCCATTTGAAAGAGACGTTTCTTCGTTCGGGCAAACGATGCACCCTGCAAACAATTGAGAAACTGCCGATTCACGTTGGGTCGAAAGTCAACGTTAACATGCTTTATTTTGTTTGTCATCCATACAAAGTCGAGTCCGGATCGCAGCATTTCCAGCTGCCCTCAGTCCCCTCAATTGAACTCTTCTCTGGAGAAAGTCGAGCTGAAGCCTGGAGGTTCTGTGGAAAGCCTGAGGAGTTCACTCAGCGGACAGAGCTCCATGAGTACGTGTGTGTCTGTGGGCTGTGTGTGTCAAATGTAAGGTGAGCGTCCCTCCCCCGCCTTCACTGTCGTGTGGCTGTGAGCAGGCGGTCAGACGGTGGGCACCACCGACTCGTCCAACAGCAACAGAGAGAGCGTCAAGTCCGAGGACGGCGAAGAGGACGAGCTCCCTTACTCGGGACCCTTCTGCGGACGCGCCCTCGTCCACACGGATTTCACACCCAGTCCCTACGACACCGACTCCCTCAAACTCAAGGTGATTACAGCAAAACAACAAAAAAACAAATTCACCCGAAACTTCTTCTCATGGTCAACTGCTGGTAGAGCGGGTTGCAGAAATAAAGGGGCTCACAGATGGTCGTGAGGTGATCAGTTGGTTCGTTCTCTTGATCACGCAAAGAGGTTATGCAACACTAAAAAAGGTGTTTCAGTAGGTAGTAACCTGGTTTTTGGTTGGTTGGCTAGATCGCACAAACGTTAGTTATGTGGCAAAGTTGGTAGGTTCGTTGAGTTGCTTGTCAGTGAGTGGGGAGGTGGCTTTTAGCAAGTTTGTCAGTCATTTCGTTAGCCGGTGTGTTAGTTAATTGGTTGTTTAGTGAGTTGATTCGTTAGCTGGATTGCCCACACAACGCCGTTTATTAATTAGCAAGACAGCTAGCCATTTATGTCACGCAGAAAGTACGATAATTATGTGACAAAGTTGGTGGTTTAGTTGTGAGTGAGTCAATTAATTAGTTGGACTGTTTGTTACTCAGTTGTTGGGTGGTTATGTCAGTTGTGAACTGAGTTGGTTGGTTCAATAATCCATTGTTGGGTTAATCGGTTGCTTAGCTAACTGGATCACGCATAGTTTTTGATGAGTAGGCAAGCTAATTTTATGACCCAAAGTAAGATTCTCAGTCAGTTTGTTAGTTATGTGACACAAAGGTGAAGGAAAAATCAAGAAATTCCCGCCGGGACGTGTTCATGCAGAGCGGCGACGTGATCGACATGATCAGCAAGCCCCCGATGGGCACGTGGATGGGCATGCTGAGGGGCAAAGTGGGCACCTTCAAATTCATCTACGTCGACGTGCTCAATCCAGAGCGGGCCAAGCCCAAGAAGACCGAGCGCAGGCGCAGGAAGGCCCGGCAGCCCAAGCCGCAGTCTGTGGACGAGCTTCTGGAGCGTATCAACCTCAAAGTGAGTAAGGACGAATCCCGAACCAACCCTTCATCATCATCATCATCATCATCGAGATTTTCTTGATCACTGGAACGCGTGGGACAGGAGCACCTGCCCACCTTCCTATTCAACGGCTACGACGACCTGGACACCTTCCGGCTGCTGGAGGAGGAGGACCTGGACGAGCTCCACATCACGGACCCCCAGGACAGAGCCGTGCTGCTCACTGCCGTCCAGCTGCTGCATGACTACGACGGTAAGGAGAGACGACTCGTCAAC